AGGATGCTCAATTTTCTGGCTTGGGCAACAGGGTGGTGCCATTGGGGGTGGAAGGAGACCAAGGATGAAGCTGGGGAAATAATTATGAGTAGTTTTTGAACATATTGAAATTGAACTCTGTGAGACATCACAAGAGAAATGGCCAATTGTCACTTAGATATACTAGTATAAAGTTCTACAGAAAGAGCTAGACTGGGCTACAGATCAAGGTGAAACCATGAATGTGAATGTTACCAGAGAGGTTTCGAGTAAAAAGATAAAAATGGAGGGCAGTAGAGATTGATGGTTGCCATTTTGGGCCTTGAGAGATGATGGAACCATGAGTCCAGTGAGCGTGGGTCCCTGAGGATTTCGTGGAGCAGAGCTGTCACACCAGCTCTGGGCTGCCTGATTCTGGATGTTTATGAGAAAGAGAAATAATGTTCTGTCTTGCTAAAGCCGCTGTTAAAGGATGCAAGGACGAAGGCTAAAACAATCATTCAGCCTTTCATAGTCATACCTTCAGATTTGCTTTCATACGTGTACCCTTAAACACTAAACTCAGATGGCATAAGCTCCCGTAGACACAAATTTACTGGGGCTGGCCTCATGGCGCAGTGGTTAAGTGCACACGCTCCGCTGCTGGTGGCCTGGGTTCGGATCCCGGGCGTGCACCAATGCACTGCTTCTCCGGCCATGCTGAGGCTGCGTCCCACGTACAGCAACTAGAAGGATGTGCAACTATGACATACAACTATCTACTGGGGCTTTGGGGGAAAAATTAAAAAAAAAATTAAGTGCACACGCTCGGCTTCGCTGCCCGGGGTTTGCAGGTTCGGATCCCGGGCGCACACCAATGCACCTCTTATCAAGCCATGCTGTGGCAGCGTCCCATATAAAGTAGAGGAAGATGGGCACAGATGTTAGCCCAGGGCCAATCTTCCTCAGCAAAATAAGAGGAGGATTGGCATTGGATGTTAGGTCAGGGCTGATCTTACACACACACACACACACAAAAGAAACAGACTTACTTTCTCAGAGGCAGATTTGTCCCATCCAACACATACTAGTCTTTTCAGACACCTTCTCATACATACTGACCTCTTCGAATATACCTACCCAGCGTTTTCTGTGCAAAACACACTAGCCCCATATATACACACACTGACCTCATATCCTCATCTACTACACCACTCCCTAACACAAAAACTTGGTCCATTAAGTATTCACTGACACCGTCTAGACACGTCTGCTTCATTTCTCACTCTTTTACTCACTATACGACCCCTTAAGGTACACACACTGGTCCCTCACTCACAGTCATGACCTCAGATTTAACTATTTGTACCATCAAATGCAACATACATACTCACTCCCTTAGGTACACACATTGGCCCTTGACAAACCTCATTTCCACCTCAAGCAGACATGCCCATTCCCTTATTCAGACACATTTGTTCTCCTTTATAGTTTTAGAGAAAGTGTGCTGACCAGTAATGTGCTGGTAAATATTTAACAACCACCTCTCAGGCCCGGCCCGTGGCTTAGTGGTTAAGTGCGCGCGCTCCACTGCTGGCGGCCCGGGCCCAGATCCCGGGTGTGCACCGCCGCACCGCTTCTCCGGCCATGCTGAGGCCACATCCCACATACAGCAACTAGAAGTATGTGCAACTATGACATACAACTATCTACTGGGGCTTTGGGGAAAAAAAGGAAGAGGATTGGCAATAGATGTTAGCTCAGGGCCGGTCTTCCTCAGCAAAAAGAGGAGGATTAGCATGGATGTTACCTCAGGGCTGATCTCCCTCACACACACACAAAAACAAAAACAGCCACCTCTCGGGCAGCCCCTTGGCGTAGTGGTTAAGTGCACGGGCTCTGCTGCTGGTGACCTGGGTTTGGATCCCAGGCGCGCACCAACGGACCGCTTGTCGGGCCATGCTGTGGCAGCGTCCCATATAAAGTGGAGGGAGATGGGCACGGATGTTAGAGCCAGTCTTCCTCAGCAAAAAGAGGAGGATTGGCATGGATGTTAGCTCAGGGCTGATCTTCCTCACACACACACAAAAAAAACAACCACCTCTCCACGTTGGGAGGGAGGAGCTCTGATTTATAGCATTTGCCACTTGCCATGGTGTAAGTACTCTGACCACGGCCAATTTCAAGCTATCAATGGTTTTACAGTCTGGTCACAAAATTCCTGACAATTTAACAATGGCTCTCAGAAGTGCTCTGCTCCAGTATACGGATGAATGCTGACCATCACAGTTGCCCTCACTTGCTTTAAGTGACTCACTGGCCTTGTGGCAAGGTGGCAGAGAACCTGGGCTGTTAATTCTCTGCCTCGTGGAGGCAGTGTAGTACGTGGTTAAGTTATTATGTTATTATCTTAAAGGGTTGTGATGAAGCTTTAAATGAGATCACCATGATTTTTTATTTTTTTTTGTGAGGAAGATTAGCCCTGAGCTAACATCCGATGCCAAACCTCTCTTTTTTTTTTTTTTTTTTTTGCTGAGGAAGACTGGCCCTGGGCTAACATCTGTGCCCATCTTCCTCTACCTTTATATAGGATGCTGCCACCGCATGGCTTGACAGGTGGTGCATTGGTGCGCACCCAGGATCCAAACCCCGGGCCACAGCAGTGGAGCACGTGCACTTAACCGCGACGCCACTGGGCCAGCCCCCACCATGATTTTTTAAATAGTGTTTATAAATTTGAAACAAAGAAAACAAAAAGGAGAATGAAAAATTTCAAAAGTTGGAAAAAAATGATTTTTATAAAGTACTGAGCACCACACTTGGTCTATAGTAAGAACATTGTACAAAATTTGTAAAAATAATGCTTTCTGATTCACTGATCCCTGGAAACACCCAAGAATCCAGAAATAGAAATCCAAACTTCTCCCCAAGACAATCAGTCCTATCATGGAGAATCACTAAAATACATCCTCTGAGCAAAGGCATGCTCTAAACTGTGTGGTAAACACTCCAGAAGTCGAGAGGAAAGGAAACCAAAAATGTCAGAGCTGGAAGAGATTGCAAAGTGGCAGCCCTCAGGCAAATTCAATTCTCAAAAGAGTTTTGCATGGTCACCAGAATGCCTTTAGGCGAGCACGTCTCTTCCATTTTCACAGTGCCCATCCTTCCATTGTCTTACACCCGCCCTACTTTGCTCATTTATGTTACTGGCCTAGCCCTTCAGCCAATCCAGCTTTCCACTCCCCGATTTTAAACTAATACTCTTGTATTTTTAAACTGAGGTTTAGGTATGTGAATAATAATAACCAAAGTTAACTTTTATTGACCATTTACTTTGTGCTAGGCCTTATCTTAATACTTACTTCAACCCTATGGGGTGGGTACTTTTTAATCTTTTTACAGACGGGAAATGGCTTCAGAGAGAGGAACTAACTTGCCAAGTCACAGACCTAGTAAGTGATTTCAGTCTAGGCGTGTTTGACTCTAGTCTGCTAAAATATGACTAGATCAAGGGAAGAGGGGAGGACATTCCAGGCAAAGATCACCCATGCTAAGGGGAAGAAGGAGAGACAGCCTTGCTTTCTGTGGATGCAGGGCATTGAGAGAAGGCAGCAGACTGAGGCGGGGAAGGCTTTGAACACTGGAAGATAAAGCTATTGACTTTTGGACAACCTGAGTTTGCCTACGTCCCTTCACCCCACTACCGGCACCCTAGTGTAAACCTGGAGTCCTGCAAGAGCCTCTTCACTGGTCTTCCTCTTCTGCTTTCATCCCTGTTCATCTCAATATAATCCTCACTACCATCTCTGAATTGTTTTGGAATGCAAATAGATCTCTGACCTGCCCCTGCTTAAAATCCTTCGAGGACTTGCCCTTGCACAGAGGATGAAATCCAAAAGCTTCAATGTGGCCTTTAAAGCCCTGCCTTAGCCTCCCTGTCCAGCCCCGACCTGTGCTATTCTCTCCACTGCCCATTTTGCTGTGTAATAATAATACTCGCTAATATTTATTAAGACTCCCTCATCCTTTATTTGGCCATTTTATCCTTCAAATCTCACTCAGTTTAAATCTCATCCCCTCAGGGCCGGGCCCCATGGTGTAGCGGTTAAGTGCACGCGCTCCGCTGCTGGTGGCCCGGGTTCGGATCCCGGGCGCACACAGACACACCACTCGTCAAGCCATGCTGTGGCGGCATCCCATATAAAGTGGAGGGAGATGGGCACGGATGTTAGCCCAGGGCCAGTCTTCCTCAGCAAAAAGAGGATTGGCATGGATGTTAGCTCAGGGCTGATCTTCCTCACAACAACAACAAAAAAAGTCATCTCCTCAGAGAGGCCCTCGTGACTCCCCACCCCATCTAGATAAGGCTTCTTCTCTGTCTTCTCTCATAGCACCCTAGTCTTTCTTCACATCGTGTAGCGTGTTATGTGATTATTAATATGCTTGTGGTTTTTTTTAACTTTTAAAAAAGTTTTTATATATATATATTTTGTGTGTGTGAGGAAGATCAGCCCTGAGCTAACATCCATGCCAATCCTCCTCTTTTTTGCTGAGGAAGAGTGGCTCTGGGCTAACATCTGTGTCCATCTTCCTCTACTTTGTGTGGGACGCCGCCACTGCATGGCTTGCCAAGCGGTGTGCCAGTCCGTGCCGGGGATCCAAACCCGTGAACCCCAGGCAGCCGAAGGGGAGTGCAGGAACTTAACTGCTGCGCTACCGGGCTGGCCCCATTTGGGGATGTGTGCTTAAAGACTAAGATCTGTCTCCATCACTAGGCTGTAAACCCCTCAGGGACAAGGATTGTGTCAGTTTCCTTCATTGCTGTATACCCAGTGTTCAGCACAGTCCCTGCCTATGTTAAGTTTCCAATAAGTGTTTGCAGAAGAAATAGATGAATTATCAGATGGCTAAGAGCCATATCTCCTTTGCATTGGGGGGCATGCACACACAGAGAAACATGCTATTAGTGCTCAGTAGACATTTGAATGAGTTTTGTCAATAAGCATAAAGATTTATTTCAGCTTAAACTTTATTGGTTTAGCTTCTCTTGGGTACCCTGGAATGGGGCTGAGACAGGAGCTGAGTAAGTGAAGGGCAGAATCCAGTCCTGAGCTGGGTTTGGTCAGAGTCACTGAAACCTGTGGAGAGAGGAGGGGAAGTGGTAGAGAGGAGGGTCATTTTCAGGTTGGAGTCAGCAAAGTAAATTTATCTTGGCAACCAGCCATAGTTCAATTGCTACCTCCAAATTACCTTTTTAATTATAGGTAATCAAAATGATTCAAAAAAGCACAGAGACTGTTACCCACCTTCCTACGGAGATTTTCTCATACTCTCTTCTCCATCGTTCTGGTCACATTCTTCTCTCCCTTCTTACCCTCTTACAGGAAACCATCGCAGATTTGTTACCTCAATCCCTCCCTAGCTTCCCAGCATCAAAGTCAGAATATGTTTTGGTTTCTGTGCCTAGGTGTCTGGCATCTGCATCTTGAACGAGTGTCCTGTCTCACCCTTTAGGTGGATAGCTCTCTCCACGGAATTTAGCCATCCTTGCTTCTGGGACATAATAGATTGAAGGACTTCCTAGCTGGTGAGGTGGATTCAAGGACCATTGAGGGGCCAGCCCAGTGGTGCAGCAGTTAAGTGCGTGCGCTCTGCTGCGGCGGCCTGGGGTTTGCAGGTTCAGATCCCGGGCGCGCACCGATGCACTGCTTGTCGAGCCATGCTGTGGTAGCGTCCCACATAAAATAGAGGAAGATGAATATGGATGTTAGCCCAGGGCCAATCTTCCTCAGCAAAAAGAGGAGAATTGGCATCGGATGTTAGCTCAGGGCTGATCTTCCTCACCAAAAAAAAAAAAAAAAAAAGGACCATTGAGACCAGCAGTGGCTAAGGAGAAGGACGACATGCCTCCAACTCTAGGGCTTCCATCGCTGCTAAGGTGCCATGGTACAAGGGTACAGAGGGAAAGCTGAGAATAGGATGGGCAGCTCAGCTTGGGTGGGCAGGGAAGATGAGAGCAGCATTTCACCTGGAGGAAGTTTCGAAAGAAGTATAAGTAGTAATAACAGCTGCCAACATAACTGAATTCTTATTACTCCACAGAGGTTGCTCTCAGCTTTTTCCTTGCATTGTCTTATTTAAACCCCACAATAGAGCCAGCCCTGATGGCCTAGTGGTTAAAGTTTGGCACGCTCTGCTTTGGCAGCCCAGATTCAGTTCCCAGGCCAGGGGTCAGGGGGACCACACCACTTATCTGTCAGTAGCCATGCTGTGGCGGCGGCTCACACAGAAGAACTAGGAGTACTTAAATTTGTTTTTTGTTGTCGTTGCTGTTGAGGAAGATTAGCCCTGAGCCAACATCTGTGCCCATCTTCCTCTACTTTATATGTGGGTCACCGCCACAGCATGGCTTGATGAGTGGTGTAGGTCTGCGCCTGGGATCCAAACCTGCAAACCCGAGGCCACTGAAGCAGAGCACACTGAATTCAACCACTGCGCTACTGGGCCAGCCCCTCTTCCTCGTTTCTTGCTTGAGAAAGATTAGTCCTGAGCTAACACCTGTGCCAATCTTCCTCTACTTTATATGTGGGTCGCCGCAACAGCATGGCTGACTAGCAGTGTTGGTCTGCTCCCAGGATCCAAACCTTTGAACCTGGGCCAACGAAGTGGAACGTGTGGAACTTAACCACTACACTATGGGGCCGGCCACTTACAACTAGAATATACAACTATGTCCTTGGGCTTTAGAGAGGGTGAAAAAAACCAAACAAACCACGAAGTGGTTTAAATAGCTCTGATTTTCATGAAAACAGCAAAGTTCAGAGAGTCTAAATAATTTGCCAGTGTTTGTTGGGGTGAAGATCTGAACCCAAAGCTCAAACTTATAACCACTTTGCAAGACACTCAAAGCCACCAAACTCCCCCACCTGAGCCTGCAGAGCTCCATCTGATCCACTATCCGGGCCAGCAGCTCTCGCATCAGTAAATCCTTTAGCAAATCTCCATCACTGGGGTTCTTGGGTAGGGAGCTGCAAAGGAGAAAGCCTCAGGCAGGCTGTTTTAGCGTGGGCCCCACCCAGGAGAGTAAATACAGGGCCTGGGACTCTAAGGGGGCACTGGGGTTGGTGGGAGGGAGTCAATACAGCTGCCTCTCAGTTATCTCAGCTTTCAAAGCTCCACCCAGATCTGTTGGCCAGGGAAATATGGGCTCTTCAATACAAGCAAAGTCAAACAGAATCCTGGTGGGAGGCATCCCGCCCATTCACCTCTACACGTATCCCAGAATGAATTTCCAAAACCCAAGAGATTACTTTGGGAACATTCATGCTTTAGAATGATGTGTGCCATAGATTCCTCAGAGAGAAGGTAACTGATATCAGGGCCTTGGGAGGGTCCCCCTCTTCCACAAAGAGCCTTCCTAGAGTTTGGCAGGGAAGGCAGTTCCTGAGGTCTCTTTTGCTGCCCTTCTCCTTGACTCAGTGACTCTGCACACTAAGTCATCAATCTTAGAAACTCTGGCCCCAAGACCCCTCCCAGGGCCCCATCGCCCGCACCCCCCATTCTTCCCAGGCTTCTCCCTTAATCTTGGGCTGACCTCCAGGAGTTCGATAAAGACCCCTCTTTGAACTCTGAGTGGAAAGGGATGCTTATCTCAGGGCCTTGCCCTGCTCTGGAGTCTGGGAAAAGGAACAGTGAGGTGGGGGCAGATCAGGAGGCCCCACCCTTGCCCCTTCCCCTGTGGGCTGACTCACCCCTGCTGCTCCTTCTCCTCCTCCTTCCTGTTGGATTGATGGGCCATCTCTAGGGCCCGGGCCTCCCTCTGGGTGATGTTGTGTTTCCAGCTGGTAAGATAAAGATTAGGGAGTGGGTGAGGCTGAGGGAGACCAGAAATTCTCCAGTCCAAAGACCTCTAGTCTTTTGGTACCTCAACCCAAGGAGCAGAGGGTACCTCCTTCTCCCCCCAACCTCCCCACTGCTTGTCTTCAGCTGCTAGTGAACAGCTTTCTGGAATCTACCACGCTAACCAAACAGCAAGGGCAGGGAAAGAGACTTGGCAAAGAGAAGGAAGAAGGATGAAGGCAGTTTATCCTGTTTCTAAAGTCTGAAGGGGCCAACATCAAATAGTCATTGGCAGCAGCTCAGCTCTCTCTGCCTTCATCCCCAGCCCCCTGGGGATCCTCTGTAAGCCCCCCACATCTTTCCCGACCCCTCTTCTTAGAAGAAAAAGATTAGAAAATTGCCCTAGTCCTGCCCCCAGACTGGACTGCTGCCCGAGTCAGGGTCCTGGCCAGGGCCACTATGTTGTCAAGCTTACCATCATCACCTAAGTGAAAGGCACCACCTGGAGTTGTGCATCACATGGTCCATGTGGCCACATGTGGTGCCTGCTCTGAATGTGGGAAGATAGAGCCAGAGTATGGGGAATTGGAAGGGGGTGCATGACTCACTCGTTCTTCTTCCCCTTCTGTGCCAGCAGCCAGTTCACAAAGTCTTGTTGGCGGATCTTGTCCATGGCGATACTGTAGTCACTGATGAAAGTTCCCTCAGCGTACCTGGGGCCTCGAGGTCTGGAGCCACTGACCTTAGTGTGGAATCTGAGGGGCAGGAAGGGGAGAGAGATAGAAACCAGGAGGCCATGAAAGGGGCAGGGGGTGCGAGGAATCACAATGCTGGGATAAATGATTGTCCCTGACAAGAGGCTGACATTTGAAAATGCACCAGTTCGTTTCTTGGGAGTTAGTTTTTATGGAGACATCCTCTTGTCTATGCATCAAGCCCCTAGGACTTTATCCTCAGCTCAAGGGCCCGCTTCCTGGTTCCTCAGTGTGTGTGGCTCTGGCTTCTGGGCAGAGAGGGATCAGGGGTCTCCTTCATCCCAAAGGACAGAATCACGGTTCCCTCCTTTACTCCTCTTGCCCTGGCCCTACCTGACTCATTTCTTTGGTTCCCAGTCAGTAGGAACAATAGCAGTTCTTATACAACAGCACTTAACGATGACGCAGGTCCTCTCTAAGCCCTTTAATACATAAACCCATTTAATCCTCACAACACCTCTAGGAGGTAGACGCTATTTATATCCCTTTTTTGTGAATGAGGAAACCAAGGTGCAGAGAGATTAATTTAGCACACAGTGTAGGTGGCAGGTCCCGGATTTACCCCCAGGCAGTCTGGGCCCAGCTGTACGTTCTCAACGTCTACATGATGTTGTCTCTCCTTGCACGTGGCTCTGACAGCCGTGCCTCAAATCTACATAGCCGAATTCACACGGGCGTATGGCTTAGCCTTGCATCTGAGAAAGCCCATCTCTTTACTCAGGTCTCTCTTGGTCCCTCAAAACACAAACAGAGTCCCCTGCTATATTCACTATTATTAGTCCTTGCTTTTCCTCACGACAGTACTCATGACAGTTTGCAACTCGCCTACGTGGTTCTTTGTCTGTTTTCCCCTTGGGCCTAGATGCTCCATGAGGGCAGGAGACATTCACGGACCACTCTTCGCAAATATCGCCTGTACCTGACACGCAGGGGCCCTCCATAAAATTTGATCAAACGCGTGCATAAATGAGTGGTTAAGGCTTTCATTAGGAAGAAAGGCTTTCATTAGGAAGAAAGATGCTGTCATCTATTTCAGACACTTAACCACTGAGAAGTCCTTCCAGAGATCTAACCACAGCCTCTACTGCTGCAAGAGTAGCTCATAATAAATACCCTCTGGTTCTGTCCTCACTCTGCACTCAGACTGCTGGCAGGTTTTTCCCTTAAGCTTCTTTCCTCTTGGCTTGGGATTCCTCCCTTTCTCACCTCCTCCTTTTTTTTTTTTTTTTTGGCTGAGGAAGATTAGCCCTGAGCTAACATCTGTGTCCATCTTCCTCTATTTTGTATAAGGGTTGCCGCCACAGCATGGGTGACGAGTGATGTAGGTCTGTGTCCAGGATCCAAACCCGTGAACCCACGAATCTGTGAACCCAGGCCACCAAAGCAGAGCACACTGAACACTATGCCACGGGGCTGGCCACATCTCACCTCCTTCTTGAAAATCAGAACCCAGTCATCTCCCCAGTCCCGTCCCCTGCACCTGATCCCTCCCTTCTCACCCCTACCTGGAGTGACCCTCTTCCTTCTCTCCCAGTACCACTGCCAGGAGCAGGGACACCAGCAGCAGAGAGAGGGTCTTCATGGCCACCATCTTCCAGCAGTTATTTTGTGAGCTGAGAAAGAAAGGGACTAGGCTGAGGTGGAGATACTGTGCGGAGGGAGCAGCCAGTATGGCAGCGCACTGCTGGCGCCTCAGAGCCTGTGCAGGTCCTGAAAGCTGGGGGCACTGAGCCCTGGAGGTTGGAGCTTTTCTAAGAGGCTGGAGCAACACCTTGGGAAGGGTGGGAGGTGCTGGCATTAGAATTAGTGTCTAGAAGGGACATAGAGCCTGGCCAAGAGGTGACCCTGCTTTTGTTTTGTTTTGAAGTAGAGTCTGAGTGGGGCAGGAGGGGGGCAGTGGGGGAGAGATCCAGGCAGAAGAAAGCAACAAAAACCTGTGTGCCTGGACAGCCCCCTTCCCAGCTCTAGTGGCGAGACATCACAGGCATGTGGTTTGGCAAGATTCTCCCCTCAGAGCCCACAGAAGTTCATACCAGCCAGCCTTCCGGCTCTCAAATCAGCTGTCACCTTAATCATCACAGCCCTCTTGCCCTAAGTGAAAACCACAAGTAGGACCATCCCATTCTCTCCTTCTCAGGCTTCACTATCTTGACTCAGGGAAGTTCTTCCTGAAATCCGACCCGTCTCCCTAGGGCCTGCCCCATTTCATCTAGGAGGTCTTCGGTAGAGATAAAGAGCAGTAAGGAACTTTCCTCCCAAGCCCTAAAAACCAAAGCCAGACCTAGAGATGTGCGGGCTGCAAGACCTTGTCTTCCTGCCTTCATCATCTGGATGCTAGAGATGATGAAGAGCCACCTTCTTATTTCTTTTTTTTTTTTTTTAAAGATTTTATTTATTTTATTTTTTCCCCCTAAAGCCCCAGTAGATAGTTGTATGTCATAGCTGCACATCCTTCCAGTTGCTGTACGTGGGACTCGGCCTCAGGATGGACAGAGAAGTGGTGCCTCGATGCGCACCCGGGATCCGCACCCGGGCCACCAGCATTGCAGCGCGCGCACTTAACCACCAAGCCACAGGGTCGGCCCAACCTTCTTATTTCTTACACAGAGGAAGAGAAAGCGAGAGACAAGGATGCCAAGCATCTCAGGGGGGCCAAGATCCACCTCCTCTCCAGTATCTCGTCCATCCCCTGCCCCAGCTGCTCTCTTACCAGGCTTCCTTTCTGGCTCTTCCAGAAGAAGGACAGGGCAGGGGTCTCTTCCTCCTTCCTTCTGGCCCTTCAGAGCCCGTCTCAAGAAAGTCCGCTGTGGCTCCTTTATATCCAGGCATCACTGACCCACTGATTAACCTAAAAGCATCTTATCTCAAGAAATTAAGCCCACAGCTCCTGCCACATTAAGTCCATTTTACACGTAATAAAGTTGTCCTTTCCACCTGAACTGTGCTAATTGGTGATTAACATTTGGGTATCTCCAGCTGCTGTCTGGGGCCTGCCCTGGGTAGGGTACCTTAGTGCCCCCTCTCTTCCCCCTCCTCTCTTCTGGGCACAGGGCCCAGTATTCTCCCATCCCCTTCTTCCTTTATAGGTGCCCTCAGTTAGAGAGATGCCCTTGGGGAGGGCAGACTTGGGGAGAGTGGCACTAGCTGGGGGAGGGGGCACTCCCATAGCCAATGGGCTACTCCTGAGTCAGAGAGAGTGGGGCCACAGTCGTTTGAACCCCAGCTCTCAAGAGCCACTGTGGCTTTGACAATGAGGCAATGTCCCCACAGTGATATCTAGGAGTGTCCCAGGTGGCTGGGGAAAGGGCTGGAGAGTGAGGAGGCAGAGGGTTGAGGGGACATGAAGACTAGGGGCTTCCTGGTGTTAGCTGGGTGAACTGAGAACTTACACTTGAGCTGTCTTCCCACTTAGGGGCAGGACAGAGTGGGGAGAGAGGCACATTTACACCTTGGGCACTCAGGGGAAGGTGGGGCAGCTACAACTCTATCTGTAAAGACTGATGTGACTCAAGCCTCTCTCCTCAAATGCCCTATTTTCCTATACGAGAGAATTATGTGGTCCTGTGGAAGCCTCCTGAGGCCAACAGCCGTGTCTGCACCCTCAGACCAGAGGCTCCTTGAGGTGCTCCTTTGCCTTTCTCCGGGTGGACGGGGCATAGCTCTGTCCACAGGGGCTCTCAGTCTAGAAAAGGCAGGGCACAGACTATATTTCTAGCAGACAGAGCCCCAAGGCCTCCCTCCCAGTCTCTCCCTTCTCCACTGCCATGGGTACTTTGAACCATAAACAACCAAGCTCATGCTGTGCCTATTAGCTCCAGGGCCTAATAAAGGCCACTTTCCTTTCCAGGTGAGCTCCCCAGTCTGGGAGCAGCTCCAGCATGAAATTAAGTGCGTGTGTGGGATGATAGGAGACTGCACCAGGAGGACCACTCACCTCTGCTTCCTAGAAACCTCACCCGCCCACCACCCATTTTTCACCATATAGAAACATTTCTCTCTGGGCAAGCTCTCCGAATCCCATCTCCCAGCTATCAATGGGCAGAGATTAGACATCAATTCAGATTTGGCCCCCAAAGGAGATGTGAGGGCTGCTTGCCATCCTGCGTCCCGTTGAGCAACACAGTTAATGGGATCAGAAGGGTTTGCCTCAAAACCTGGGCACCCCTGCTTGGAGGCACAGGGTTCCCAAGAAGGGCGGGGATCATTCCCTGGGATCCCTAAGTCTGATGCCAAACCAGAGTCAAGGAAGATTCTGTGATGGGTCCCGGCAACCTGAACTGCTGCCTGGTGCTCTGGGGATTTGTTTTCGGGGTGGGCTGCTCTGAAGGCCAGTTGTGTTTTAAGTCTCCACCCAACCTCCTCTTGGGGGGCACCCCTCTGCAGCCCCCCTCCCTGTTTCCCTTTGATCTTTGGCTCTCACGCTGTGCAGTGGACAGACTAGGGGGAATGTGGCCTGAGCCCTGAGGGGAGGGAGGGATGTGGGGAGGACCAGGGAAGGAGATCAGAGAAGATGCCAAACTCCCAGGGAAGCCCACAGGTCACCCCCCTACCCCCCTACCCCCACCGTGGGGCATACTGGGAGGCCTGGGAATGGACAAGATGGCCTTGGGAAGTTTGAGTATCAGAAAGCCTGCTGGACTTGATCAAAATAGTTCAATAAATCCAACTCACACCTCAGCCAGCCCATCCACGCCATGATGAGAAGTGCCCTGGTGTGCAGAGTCCAGTGCAGCACAGGGCCCTGGGGGGCAGGGGGAGGGAGGGGCAGGCTCAGGAGGTGGCAGAGCCTCATTCCACTGTAGAGAATTTCCAGGATGTGAGGGGTCAGAGAGGACACAGGGGAAGGAGAGGCAAGAGGAAGCCCCCAAGTGGCCGGAAGCCCAGATACAAAGACTGATGGCCCAGACAGGTAGAGAGAGCGGTTTGGGCAGTGTCTGAGGAGCCATGGAAGTGGAGGGTCCATGTGAGAAGGGGGTGAGGGCAGCGCTGTTGCAAGAGAAGCCAGGTCCCTCTTCCCAGACCCTCGTGGCTTCTGAATTGAGGCCCCAGGTTGAGAACTGGAACAGCAGAAGAGCCTTTGGGGCTTGTTGGCTCTTCCAGCTCACGGTGGTGACTCACCACCCTCCGGGGCCCACAGCGCCCACAGGGCCACCACAGACATTCCAGGCCCAGCTCCGCAGCCAGGCCAGGGTGACTCAGAGGGCTGGCTGCAGTCTCCCTGCCATGGACTCTGCTTCAGAAGTTCGCTTGGTCTTCAAACTCACGCGCTGACTCAAAAGCAGACATCTCTTTCTGATGTCTCTTACACCAGGTGGGTGATTTACAGTCGTCCCCCCTTACCCGCGGTTTCGCTTTCCGCGGTTTCACTTTCCACGGTTTCAGTTACCTGCGGTCTCAGTTACCCACGGTCAACTGCAGTCTGAAAATATTCAATGGAAAATTCCAGAAATAAACAATCCATAAGTTTTAAATTGCACACTGTTCTGAGTAGTATGATGAAATCTCAAGTCGTCCTGCTCAGTCCTGCCCGGGACGTGAATCATCCCTTTGTCCAGTGTATGCACGCTGTATACGCCACTCGCCTGCTAGTCACTTAGTAGTCCTCTCCGTTATCAGATAGACTTTGGAGGTATCACAGTACTTGTGTTTAAGTAACCCTTAGTTCACTTAATAATGGTCCCAAAGTGCCATTAATCTCTTACTGTGCCTAATTTATAAATTAAACTCTATCATAGGTATGTACGTATAGGAAAAACATAATATGTATAGGGTTCGGTACTATCCGTTGTTTCAGGCATCCACTGGGGGTCTTGGAATGCATCCCTCGTGGATAAGAGGGGATTACTGTATTCTTCTTCTCCTGCAGAGGAGACAAGAGATGACATGAATCCTGATAAGCTTACTGAGTCATCTGGTCTATTCTGAGTCCTAGAAGGACTGCATCCAGGTTTCCTACCCGGTCACATCACATACACAGTCATCGTCCCAAATATTTTTGCCCACACCAGCCCCTAGTACCACTCGGGTCAAGGTAGATACTTTCCAGAGGATCTTCAAGAAAGAATATACTACCTACAGCCTCTCTTGGCCATCTGCAGCAAGGGATCAGTTTGGAAGTCCCCTCTCAGTTCTAACCCCAGTCCCTCTCACTGTTTTCAAAGGCTATTTTGTCCACTTTTGTTTGTCAAGAAAAGAGCTCAGCCCTTAGTAGTAGCTGCAGCCTAATCCGTGGGAGGAGAACTGCAGTGAAGATTTAGAACTGGGAGGGGGTGGCCACAAGGTTCTCACTTCCGGGAGTTAAAGAATTGGTGGTGCATTTAGGATAAAAGGCCAAAGGGCTGGGCCTCCCAGAGAAGAGAGCAGCAATCCTGAGCTCTTCTTTCTCTCAAGTGGGAGCACATCCCAGGGAAAGTAAGAGAGAGGTGAGAAGGGAGGGCTTTCCCCTCCTTTCCTTGCATGTGCACATGAAGGATGTTTCCAGGGTCCCCAGTGAGCCCCACCCCCATTCCTGCAGTGGGTATGGGGAGGGCCTTCTGCAACTTCAGAAAGGTACCCCTCATTAATTAGATTAGAGAGTAGCCTGATGGGGTGG